TGCGAACACAACATTTTTTTGAGAAGATTTTTAAAATCAGGTTGACCTAGAATTTAAATAAATACAAAATATTAATTAAACACAACGCCAAAAAAATTTTATAAAGTAAAAGTTAGAGAAAAAGAATAGAGAGAATATTCTTATATTTTTCTATTTCTCTCTACTAATTTGCAACCTTTTTTATTTTTTATTGTGACGCATTTTAAGCATTTGCTTTCTATATAAACATTTTATTTCTTTTATTTTTCTTTTATTTTTCTAGTTTTTCTTTTTTGTGATTTTTTGTAATTTTTTCTGTATGTTTCTTTAATTTTAGCTTAGCAACATGCTTAAAGTTGATTTCTTTATAATTTATTAATTCTTTACCCAGACTTTGCAGACTTTAACAGAATCTTTAGTAAACTTTGGACTTTAACCCTTTCTTTTATGGTTAGCTCCCTTTCTGAATATGTAGTCCATTTATTGAATCCTTCAGAGTACTAGTCAGTCTCCCCCAACGCAAGGCCCTCTTTTTGGTTGTCCTTTAGGTAAGCGTTCGAGTTTTGGGTTTTTACACACGCTCTCCCCCAACAAAATGCCCCCTGTCCCGTTCTTTCAAAATAACTTTTGGCCAGATCCTCAAGAGGTCAAAATATCTTTTTGATCAGAATCTCCATTAGGGGCGCCTCTTAAAAATCCTCGAGAACATCCAAATCTCTACCTATTTAATATTTTTTAACATTAATTTATTTACTTCATATTCTTTATATTTTCCATTTTCTTCCATTAACATCTCAATTTTATTATTTTTTTCAAACTTTTTTTTAAAAACTGCTAATCCTTTTCAAAACAAAATTTTGAGACAATCCAGTTTTTAAAATTTTTATTTAAATATTTCATCATTTAATTTCATCATTTTTTCTTCAAGTTCCACTTAATTTTCACACAAACAATTTTTTTTAATTTTTTAATTTCCTCCTTTTAATTTTCCCTCCCCCTTTTTTTTACTCTACTCAATTTCCTTTCCATCCCATTTTTCAATTTTTTAATAAACTAGCGGAGGGGGTCGCCCTTCGGGCGAGCCCCTTCCGCTAGCTAAATTCTAAACATTACATAAGCTTAAATTAAAACACCTCATACATAAAACTCACTCGTCAACTATTAACTTTAATTCAACTATTAACTAAGATTTTCAACTTCCAACTATTAATATCTATGCCTACTATTAACTATCAATTTTCAACTATTAACAATGACTAAACTATTAACTCAGACTTTCAACTTCCAACTATTAACTATTACTATCAATTTTCACTATCAACTGATTCCTTAAATTTTCAACTTCCAACTATTAACTATTAATATCTATGTCTACTATTAACTATCAATTTTCAGCTATTAAATATTACAATGATTCAACTATTAACTAAGACTTTTAATTTTGAACTATTAACATCTATGTCTACTATTAACTATCAATTTTCACTATTAACTATTAGCAATGATTCGACTATTAACTAAGATTTTTAACTTTCACTTATCAATATCTATGTCAACTATTAACTATCAATTTTCAACTATTAACAGTGATTAAACCATTAACTAAAACTTTCAATTTTCACAATCAACTATTAATATTTATTTCAACTATTAACTATTAACCTACTTTTAAATATTAATATACAAATATTAACCAACTTTCAAGAATTAATTTACAACTATGAACTATTAACCACCCTTCAAATATTAATATTGAACTATTACTATCAACTATTAACAACACTAACTATAAGCTATTAACAACCCTTGTCACTTAACATTTGTCAGACTCTTATATCTCAGTCATTACCGCTTTTTTCTCACCCATCGTGGGACCGTTTTCTCAATCTATTGAACGACTATTTTCTCTTTCCTATTGACGGGATCTTTTATCTTGTATATTGGCGAACCCTTTTTTCAAGCCATTTAACGGACACTTTTCTCTTGCTTATTGCTCGAAATCTTTTTTTCCCAGCATTCACAGACCCTTTTCACCCAGTTACAGGACCGTTTTCGCTTACCATTATTTCAACCATCTCCAGACCCTTTTCACCCAGTTACAGGACCGTTTTCGCTTACCATTATTTCAACCATCTCCAGACCCTTTTCACCCAGTTACAGAACCGTTTTCGCTTACCATTATTTCAACCATCTCCAGACCCTTTTCACCCAGTTACAGGACCGTTTTCGCTTACCATTATTTCAACCATCTCCAGACCCTTTTCACCCAGTTACAGGACCGTTTTCGCTTACCATTATTTCAACCATCTCCAGACCCTTTTCACCCAGTTACAGGACCGTTTTCGCTTACCATTATTTCAACCATCTCCAGACCCTTTTCACCCAGTTACAGAACCGTTTTCGCTTACCATTATTTCAACCATCTCCAGACCCTTTTCACCCAGTTACAGGACCGTTTTCGCTTACCATTATTTCAACCATTTCCAGACCCTTTTCGCCCATTTACGGGACCCTTTTTGCTCACCATTATTTCAACCATTTCCAGACCCTTTTCACCCATTTATGGGACCCTTTTTGCTCACCGTTATTCCGACCATTGCCAGACCCGTTTCGCCCAGTTACGGGACCATTTTCGCTTACCATTATTTCAACCATCGCCATATTCTTTTCACCCATTTTCGGGACATTTTCGACTACCATTATACCAACAATTATCAGACCTATTTCACCCAATTAAAACCTCACAATAAAACAAACTGTTGGACACGCGTGTTGTTTAAATAAAAGATCAGCACTGAAAAACAAACTGTTGGACACTAACTTTGTTTAATAAATGATCGCTTTGTTTTTGAATCTAAAAACAATTTCCAAATAAAACAAATTTTAACAAACAAAAAAACAAAACAGTCGAAACACATCTTAAATACAATTAACAAACAAAAAAAAATAAAAAAAAAATCAAAAAAAAAAAACAAAACATCCTCTAAAAATTTCACATTTTTTCTTTACTTCTCTAAATACACACTATTTTCAATTTTGGGATATTTTGTCATTTTTAATTAAAAAATAAACACAACGCCAAACACAGCAAAATTTAAAGCTGCGGACAGACAGACAGAGCATTCTAAAATTTAATATAGGATTAAAAATTGTGTGTGAGTGTTTTTTACGCTTTCCCCATTTAATAAATTTTTTTAATTTAATGGCATGCCATAAATAAATTTATAAAATAAATTTATTTAATTATTAGTTACTTGAGGGGGAATATGTAATAGAAAGAGAGGGATGTAGGGGAAAGACTGTTTCTTTTACGAATAATTTTTTAAATGGGAGACGTAATATTCCCTTGAGGGTGTAACCTTGGGGATAATTTAATAAACGTTTGTGTCTTTTTAATTTTATGTTGCAAAAATTTTAGAAATTTAATTTATAATGAAGGAAAGGCTGCCGTTAAGAGTAAAGAACAGACTTTTTAAAATAAGGAACGGAAAATGAGGTTGGATATAAAGGGAATAGAGGGGTTGGATAAAGAATAGGAGAATAGGAATAGGCTTCGACCGGGACTTGAATCAGTCTAAAATGGAAATTTGTTCCTTGGTTCCATCCTGACCTTTCCAAAAAATTCTGAAAAGGAATCCGAACCTTAAGTAAATCTAACGATCCGAACCAACTGGAAAAAAATTTCCGCAGCCTCACTCGCAATTTTAATTTTAAGATCTGCAGCCGCAATCCGCAAGTCAAAAAAAACACTCCACGCAATCCTCAATTGCGCCCAGCCCTTATCCGAAACTCACTCCTTTCTTTTTCTATTTAAAGACACTCCTTTTGCATCGATATTCCTTTAATTAACAAGTCTTTATATGTATAATTTAGGCGTTTTTTGAGTTTTATTGTTTTATATTTGTGTGTATGTTAATCCGGAACCATTTTTTGTTTGTTAATCTTTTCAAACTTCTTATTAAATAAAAAATTTTTCCTAAAGAAAATAATTATAAATTCTGCCTTAAAATAATTTTTTTTATTTTTTTCCTTTTTTAAACAAAAAAATTATAAATGCAAATAAAAAATATCTTTTATTCTTTTTTTAAATCTATAACCTACTACTTTACGTATTATAAAATGTGTTAACCTAAAACTAGTAGTTAGCACGCGATATAAAAATAAAAATGTACATATACTCACATTTGTATCCCCCCTTTCCATTGGGTACAGCCCAATTAGGCGCGCGGCCAGAATGGCGCAAAGTCATAATTTGCTTCAAGATTTCCGAATCTTACCAAATTTAGTATTAAACGATTCCTCTCTTCGAGCTAAAGAAATTGGTACCAAAATTAATAAAGGGTCAGAAATTTTCCAGCAAGTTATGGCTTTGAGCCGTTATGGTCGCGCGCCTACTTGGGCGTGTCCCTCTTTTCAGTTTTCTATTTATTTTTTTTCTTCTTTTTATTTTTGCTCTTTATTTTAACCACTATATAATCTTTTTCTATTTTTTGATAAATATTTTTAAAACAAAAAAATTAATAAGAATTTGTTTGAAATTTTTTTCAGTTATTTTCAGTAAGGGAGAGGGGGGATTAAGAGAAGGAGAGAGAATAAATAGGCCATTAAGATTAAAAATTATTTTTTTTCTCAAATTTTTTTTCTTGATTTTTTATACGCGCGGCATTAAAAAAATGTCAGAAAAAATTAATAAAAATAGAAAATAAATAAATTGCTAGGTTACGGTTAAATATTAAATAAATTTGGTTTAAAAAATAATTGGGTTTATTAGGTGCTTAGAAGGATTTTTTTCTGTTTTTGCTATAAAAGGAATAAATATTAAAAAATATTTTTTTAAAGTAAGAGAGATTTTCTAAAGATTATTTTTTAAAAAGCTTTTTAGTTTTATTTTTGAGCATCTTTTTTTCTATTTTTTGCCCCTATTTTTGCATTTTTAGTTAATTGACGGTTTAAGGGGAGGGAATAGGAGTGTGTATAAGGTAGAAAAGTGTTTAAAAGAAGCTTTAAAAACATTCCAAATATTTTATATCATTTTTATTTTGAGTTGGTATTGCATTAGCAGAGCGTAGAGACGAGTTTAAGAATTTTTGTAGTTTTGGTGTAGTGGGATAATTCTTGACTTTACTGGAATTGGGGTCGTGGGTTCGAACCCGGTCGAGGGAATTTTTATTTTTTCTTTTGGTTATTCATTTTTTCTTCGCGTTTCCCCTTCCTTTTGATGTTGTTTAACTTTTGAATTTTTATTTTTGAATGTTTTTTGCGATGGATGTTTTGATTTTCTCGTTTACTTTATATTTTTCTTTGAAAATCGCGTTTTTAAATTCAAAATTTTTTTTTAATTTTTAAAATTTTTTTAGACGATCAAATTGTGTCATTAGAAGAATTACAAAATCGAAAACCTTCTCAAAATTTCGCCGACTACAATTCTTTCAACACTACTTGCCCTCCCATCGACAGCAGCGACGTCAACATGCGATTCGACATTGGATACAATAATTCCCATCAACAACGGGGAAACAATTATCAACAGAAGGCGAAGAAATGGCACTTTAATGGTTTATAAATTTAATCTTTTTGAACTGACTCCGGGGAATCTGTTTTTGTTGTTATTCGCCTTTTTGGTTAAGTGGAGAATTTAAGAATCTTAAGGGGAAAACGGTGTGGGTTCGAATCCCGTTGGTGGTCAGCCTTTTTATTTTTGTTTTTTTTGTGGTATTCCGGCTATTTTTGGTTTAATTCACACTCTCTGTTAATTAAAATAATTTTTTTCAACTTGTAGACTACTACCGTCTCGTTGACGATCACTTGGGCTCTGGAGCTTATGCCTCCGTAAAAACTGCAATCAATTTGGCTAGCGGAGAGGAATATGCTGTTAAGGTTGTGAACAAACACAAACATGGTCATACTCGTTCGCGTATCATGCGAGAAGTCCAAATTTTCAAACTTTGTCGAAATCATCCGAATATTGGTATTTATTTTTGTTTACATCTTTTTTGGTTTTTAAGTCTGGGTATGGGTTATGAAATGAGCACATTGTGAGGAGGGTTCTGGCTTTAGAACAAGGAGGTGGGTTCTGGCTTTAGCACATGGGGAGACCCAAGCCTTGCCACCAACCCCCACATCTTTTCTTTTTTTGCCTTGTTTCTTTAATTTCAAGATTCCCTTCATTTTACCTTTTTCAGTACAATTGGTTGAATGGTTCGAAGATGATAGTAGCTTCTACATGGTTTTTGAGAAGATGCGTGGCGGCCCTCTTCTTAATCATATTCAACGAAAAGTTTGCTTTACCGAGCAAGAAGCCTCGCTAGTAACGCGTGATATTGCGAATGCTCTCAAATTTCTTCATGATCGGGGAATTGCCCATCGAGATGTCAAGCCGGGTTAGTTTTTTTGAAGTTTTTCCTTTTGTGGGTGACCGGGATTTTGGGGGATTTGGCTTGAAGTCACCAAAAAAACCTGTTCAATTTTTAAGAAAACATTCTCTGTACCGAAGTAGACAAAATCTCTCCAGTCAAACTCTGTGATTTGGATTTGGCTAGCAAACCATTCGATGCTACTACAACACCTGGTCGAATGCGTCCGGTACAATCAGAGCCAGATTTGGCTAGCCCAGTTGGAAGTGCTGAATTTATGGCTCCGGAAGTTGTTGATGCTTTTGTTGGGGAAGCGCTCAAATATGACAAGCGCTGTGATATGTGGTCGTTGGGTGTGATTATTTACATTATGCTGTGTGGATATCCTCCGTTTTATGGAGAATGTGAGAAGGAAAATTGTGGTTGGGATCAAGGTTATTTTTATATCTTTTAGTATTTTAATAAGATAGGTAGCTGGGGTTTTAGTAAGACAGAAACGTTCTTAAGAGTTTTGGTATTTTTTGCCTCTCCACTAGGAAGTACGGGATTATTTGTGTTCTTTTCGTATTTTTGGTTGACTCGGAATTGCAACTACATAGTAATTTTAGGGGTCCTTAAGAGTGCCGGGATTTGACTCGCCTTATTACTTGTATCTTTTTTTAGTAATTTTGACTTAGAGTCCAATCTCTTAATATTCATAGTTGTTAGTTCCCTTATCCGAATGACTGTCCTCTCTAAGAGCTAGATTTTTCCATTTGTAAGAAGGGAAAATCTACCTTTTAGCATTTAAATCCTGGTTTAGTTCTTTGTAAAAGACCAGATAGAATTATCGCTCTAGGTTTATTGTTAGTTTGTCGTAACATCTGTCCTGCCATTCATTTTTTAATGTAAAAAATTAGAATTTTGTAGGCGAGTCTTGCTCTGATTGTCAAGAGAATCTCTTTCATCGAATCCAAGGCGGCTACTTTGACTTTCCCGATGAAGAATGGAAGCATATTAGTGACAGTGCTAAAGATCTCATTTGCCATCTTTTGGTTTCTTTTTTCTTTAAATTCTTCAATTTCTCAATTTTTAAAGGTTCGAAACGTTCGCCAACGTTATACTGCTGATGAAGTTTTAACCCATCCTTGGGTAACTCGTGGTGCTCCAAAGACTCCTCTTCAAACGGCCACAAATCTTTCGCGAAATGATAGTGCTCGTGATGTTCACCAAATGAATGAACATTTTCTTATGATGAATCGAATTTCACCAATGATTGCACGTTTAAGTTCGCGTTTGAATGTTGCTGCTGCGGTGGAGGCGGGTTCTGTTGTTGTTGTTCCTGGAGGTTTCTTTTAAATTTTTTAAATATTCTAGTATAATTTTAATGGTTGAGAAGAATAGGGCAAGACTCCCTTTAATCTAGGTTTGGACCCCTAACCTTTTAAGAGTCATAAAGTTTAGGGGTTGAAAGACAATCTACCAATTGATGAGAATAATCCAGAGACTAGATTCGGAACTACCCTCCAAAAAGAACATGTGTGATATCTTGTCGTTGTTAATACTCTGACTTTGAAACCTTGTACCTTTGGTCATCGCTAGTCACATGATCTATTAAAATACTTTGTGTGTTATTCAACCGAAATGAATTGTCCTTGACTTTCCATAAAGTAATTTGGATTAATGAGTGAATTGCCTCTCGACATTAAGTGGTGGATTATCCTAACACTAGAGTTTTCATAGGAACCGAAAAAATTTTTTCAATTTTTTCTAAAAATTGATTTTAAGGTGGTATAGTCAACAATCATAATAACAATAACAACATCAACAACAATACCAACAATAATAATAATAATCTTCACCATCAATATCCTCCTCCTCCTCATCATCAACCACTTCAACTTCACGGTCAATTTGCTCACCACCACCATCCATCACCTCCAATTTCTCTTCCACATCAACATTTGATGATTACAATGAAAAACAATTAATTGGTATTTAAAAAATTAGGCAAACAAAAAAAATCTGAAAAAAAAAGTTTTATTTATTTTAATTGTGTAAATTCCTCTCTCTTCTATTCTCTCTCTTAAAAATGCCTCCCTTCTAGTGTTTCGCCGGAAGCAAAAAATTCCGGAACTTCCGGCCTACCGGAACCTGAGCTTCCGGCGAGACACTACCCCCCTCCCTTCCTTTAAAAATGCAAAAAAAATTTAAAAAAAAATAAAATTTCCCCCTTCTAAAAAATTCTCTCTTACTCTCAAAAAAATCTGCCTCAATCCCAGCAATTTTTTTTTGTTTGTTTTTAATTATAAAAACAAATTTAATTAAAAAAACATTATAGCAATATTTAAAAAAAAGAAGAGGGAAAAGTATAGGCGGTAAATTTATTAAAGAATTTTTTTGAAATTTTTGAAAAAAGGAAAAAACAGAATGCCAAGAAATTTTTTTTGGTAATTTTCCGAATTTTTTAAAACATTTTCCTGACCAAAAAAATTTTTAAAAATTTCCTTCTGACCATTTTGACATCTTGGCATTTTGTCGAATTTTCCTTTAATTGGCGTTTTGTCGAATTTTTTAGTTTAAATTTACTTAGGTCAGGAAATTTAATTTTTAGTTCTAGTTAAAAATAATTGGAAATATTTTTCTTTGATTTTTTCTATTTAAAGAAATATTCCTTGCCGCCTATACACTACTTTTCCTTTCTTTATTTTTTTCTTCACAACAACAACAATACATTAAAAAAAATTAAAATTAAAAATTCCATCCAGAAATTTTTAAAAATTTCAAAAAAAAATGCGCACATAAAAATTATATAAATATTTATTTTCTTTTTTTGTTTTATTTATTCTCTCTCTCTTTTATACATTTATTTATTAATTTTATTTTTTTTTGTTCCCCGCAAAATGAAGACAAATTTAAAAAAAAGTATATGTTTGTGTGTAAAAACAATTTTAAAAATTATGTGAAAATTAAAATGTATTTATTTTATTGCAAATTTTAACCTGGAAAAAAAATTATGTTTATGTATTTTAAAGACATTTGCGGTGTTTTCTAGTTAGTTTGAGGAAATTATTTGAAGCTTTACCCTTATGGGAATTTACCCTTTTGAGAATTGATATTTTTGAGAAACTGACCATTTTGGTACCATTTTTAAAAAAATTTACCCTTATGAGACTTTATCCTTTCGGGAATTTACCCTTTTGAGAAACTGACCATTTTGGTACCATTTTTAAAAATTTTACCATTTTGAAAATTGGCAATTTGGGGATTGACCATTTTTTAATTTTACCGTTGACCATTTTAAAGAGAATTAAAATTCCTACGTTTGTTTTTGGAGCTCTCTAGATTAACTACTGCAAATGTCACACAATATCTTCCCCATTTAAAAACCCTTATATTCTAAAAATATTGTTAGCCTCTAAAAATTGCCATAAATAAAAATAAAAATTAAAAAAAATATTTTTAGAAATTAAGGTAATTTTATTTATGTTTTATTAAAAATTTGTGTTTTTTGATTTTATGATTATCGGATTTTTAAAAATGTAGAAAGAAAAAAATAAAGACTATTAGACGGGTTTTGAATTTTTTGTATTGTTTAATTAATTAAAAAAAATTAATTTTACTTAGAATAAAATGGAAATTAAGGAAATTAAAATTAGAAAAAAATAAAATAAATAAGATATAATTTTAAAAATTTAAAATTGAGCTTGAATAAATTTAAAAAAAAAATATTTTTAAAAATTAAAATTCCGATGCTCATTAATTTAAATTTAAATATTCTGATTGTCTTTTGTCTCAAAGTAAATGATCGTCGCCATTTTAAGTGTACATAAATACATATTTATTAAAAATCCCCACCCTTTTTTCTTTAAAAAAATTTAAAAACACCCCAACCACACACCTCTACATATATTTAATTCAATTTATTGGACACATTCTTTTGTTTATATAACTTTAAAAAATTTGTATTTATTTTAAAATTTAAAGAAGCTTGTATTTTTAATTGGGGAATATTAAATGACTTTGCGAAATTTCGAATTGATTTTTTAATTCGAAATTTCGTTTCAGACTCGGAATAATTTCAGAATGTCAAAATTTCGTTTTGGAATTGACCATTTTGCAATTTGACTTTTTTAAGAGATTTACCTTTTTGAAAATTACCATTTTGAAAGTTGACATTCTGAAATTTTGTTTTTGCAAAAAATTGGTCATAACGCGATAAAAATAAATTTAAAAAATTTTGTTTCTAAAAAATATTTTTTGTTTTTCTATTTATTCAATGGAAGGTAATTCTAATCTAATAATTTAATTAACTTACTATATTTATTAAATATGTTGTTGTTTTTAGCGAAGCCCTTTTTAATAAAGGAATGGGGGGGGGGGGGGGGGGGTCTTTATTTGCCATTTCTAAACTGTCAATTTCAGAAAATGGCCATTTTGAGAATTTACCATTTTAAAATTTATTAAACTTCATTAATCCAGATTAATCCGTTCCGGTTTTTCCGGTTTCTACTATTTATTATTAACATTAATAATAAAATCAACAACATTTAAAATAAAATAATAAAAAAAAACAATACACTCAAACTTATTTTTGTTAATTGCTTTTCTTCCTTTGTGTTCTATTTAAATTTTTTTTTTTTCTAATTTTTACTCTTTTTAATATTTAAATTTTAAAATTAAAAAAAGAGCGCGGGTTTAATTCTTTTAAAAAATATTAAAAGATTTTACACGTGCAAAAAATAAAAATAAATAATGATAATTTTTTTCCTAATTTTTAAATTCATAAAATTGTTAAAAAAAGAAGTTGGGCTCTTCATTTTATTTGTGAAAATCTCTGTCCCCTGTCTGCCTTCTTTTTTTTTGTTTTTTTTTAAATTTTCAATTTTTTCCAATTACAAATGAAGAATAATATGCCTAAAAGTGTAAATAAATAAAAATAATTATTTTTTTTATTTTTCGTGTTTAGGTGTTCGAAATTTTTTTTTTCCGAAATTTTTAAAGAAAAAAGAATTTTGGTTATTTTTGAAAAAAATATCTCGAACACCTCTAAAATGTTGGGGGACAAATACTTGAGAAGGAAAGTGACAGAAAAGTCTTTCTTGGACTTCTTCAAGGGATTCTTTTGGTGTTTGATTGGCTTGTTAAATGAGGTGACATTATATCCCTTCAAAAGTATTTGTCCCAACAACAGTAAAAAATTAGTTTAAAAATGGGAGATCTCCTTTTTGTCCTAATTTTTATTTTAAATTTTCTAGTAAATTTTATTTATTCCTCTTCTTCTCTTCTACTAATTTAATTTAATTAACTAAACTAATTTTCTCCTGCCTTAGCTAATTTAAAATTAAAATTCTTTATTTTTTAGTTAATTTTCTTTAAATTTTTGTTCAAAGCTCTCTATTTACGATACTCTTCTCAGACCTAAGATTTGCTGACGTAAGAAAGGTTTCGTTTAGGGAGAGTCAGCTAAAGAGGCTAAACTAACCACTTCAGGGCTAGCTTAAGTTGATATTAGTAAGGAATGTAAGTCGGAACAGTCAGAGATATCGGAAATCGGAACTGTCGGAAATCGGAAATGGCTCAAAAGTCGGAACTCGGAAATCAAAATTTTTTTTCGGAAATCGGAAATCGGAATTCCGACCCACCTCTGTTAGTAGGGAGTGTAAGTCGAGGCCTTTTTGACCGGACATTGTGAGGGGATGTGGAAGGGTGTCGTAAATGCGAGAGAGAGTGTTGACTGACCTTTTTAATGTATTTTTATTTTATTTTTTTAGTTATTAATTTATTTAAAAAAAATTTTTTCCATTCCTCTAATTAAAAAAAAACAATTTTTTGGAAAATTGGAAATGTATTTAAAAATGTACTTTTACTCATTAAAAAAATTTTTTTTGGATTTTTAAAAATGAGAAAATTAAAATACAGTCAAAATCTCATTATTAAATGTCCCCTTTTTGTTGGATAACAAATACGAGCCTTATACTGAAGGGTTATTTTAAATAGAGGATATATGTATATCGCTTAGACAGCCTTCTATCTCCCCACGTTTCTAACTAATTGGAGGTGTAGCTACTAGAGCTGATCAAGACTCTTGGTCTTGAGCCTTGACTTAAGACTTTTCTTGGGGTTTTCCAGTCAGGGTCTTGAGGTATAGTCTTAGTCTCGAGTCTTGAAAAATTTTTGGTCTTGGACAGCTCTAGTAGCTACTTAGTATTGGGTGTCTCTTATAATGAGATTTTGACTGTACTTAATGTTCTTCTTCCCTAATTAATTTTTGCTTAAATTAATGTTTATATACACTCAAAATTAATTTTTTTTTCAATTAAAATATTTGGACGGATTATGATTTTAGGCCATTGTGTACATAATTTTACATATTTTAATTTTTTTGAAAGTGTGATTTTTGAAAAAAATTTTCGGAAAAATTTTAATTTTTGTAAAGAAAAGACATTTTATCCCAAAAACAAAAAATCACACCCTTTCCACATTCTTTAATTAAATTCAGCAATTCTTTTCCCTTTTTAAATATTCCTATTCTTTTCTTTAAACAAAAAAATGTTTCACGTAAAAACAGCTAGTAAAAAGCATAGTTTCTAAATTAATTAGAAAATGCATCGTTCAAGCAATATTGTAGCAATATAAAAAAAGAGTGTGACCAGATTAATTGAAATTTTTGAAATTAAAAAATGGACGTTTTGACAAGTTGACATTTTGAAATTTTTTTGGAAAGTTGACATTTTGAAATTTTTCTGGAAAGTTGACATTTTGAAATTTTTTGGAAAGTCGACATTTCGAAATTTTTTGTGGAAATTTGACATTTTGAAATTTTTTGGAAAAGTTGACATTTTGAAATTTTTTGGAAAGTCGACATTTCGAAATTTTTTTGAAAAGTTGACATTTTGAAATTTTTTGGAAAAGTTGACATTTTGAAATTTTTTGGAAAGTCGACATTTCGAAATTTTTTTGAAAAGTTTACATTTTGAAATAATCTGGTCACAGCCTTTTTTAATTAAAATCTTCAGGCATCTCACAAAAAAAAATTGAAAATTGTACCACCACATGATTATTAGTAATAACAAAAAAACACAAAACGCTCCGGCCTTTCCCCGACACTTTTTTAAAATAAAAATTAGTATTTAATGGCCACTTGATTAATTTAAATTTTGGAGATTTGTTGAGGATGTTTTAAAATTAAAATTAAAAAAAGAGAAAGTTAAATTCAAGTGGCTTCTGCTTATCTTTGTCCCTTCATTCCCCTCTTCCCCACCTTCTCTCACTCCTTCCCCTTATTTCCCCCTAAATTCTGTATAATTTCCCCTTCCCTCAAAATTCAATGTTTCTTATAGAAGCCCTTCCTAATTAAAAATATTATTTTCCTTTTGTGTCGGAAAATTTTTCACCTCAAAAAAATTTTTTTGGAATCGCCCGGCCGCGATGTGTAGTTCTTTCACTCATGAAAGGCTTAATTTAATTTGCCTTTAATTGTCCGCCTATTTAATTAATTTTGAATATGCGCAAGTTTTAGCATTTTAAAAATGCTTTGGTAATTCAAGTTTTAGATAAGTGGAGCGCAGACAGTGTAAATTCAAGTTTCAAGTTTTTAGAAGCATTTTTGCTTTTCAAGTTGGAAAAAAAGTTGGAAAATTATATTCAAGTTTTCAAGTTGGAAAAATACAAAGAAGTTAGACAGAGTTCTTTTCCAAGTTTATTTATTTAATTTTACAATTTGTAATTACAATTTGTAAAACTTTTCTCTAATCCCAACACTATTTTCTTTTGTTTTTATTTTAATTGTGTAGAGACCGGAAAGGTTTATTTATTTTTCCGGAAGTGTGTAGAGAATAAAAGTTTTCCGGAAAAGTTTATTTTTATAGAGGTTAGAGATAGAGGTTAGAGATTTTAAATAATCTTTCCGGTCTATGTTTATTTTTAATTTTATTATACTCTTTATTAATTTACTAGAAAAAAAATGCAAAAAGTCGCTAGCGATAAAAAATATTTTTCTTGGAGTAAAATTAATTTTTTTTTCTTTTTTATTAAATTAAATCCAATTTTACTGGATTTCTTTTTAGTTTATTAATTTAAATTTTATTTTTTATATTAAAAAATAAATTTAAAAAATTCTCTCCATTATTTGAGATTAAATTTTGATCTTTTTTTTTATTTTAAATTCGACTGTTTTTATTTTAATTTTGATAGAAAATTGTTTCTTTTCTTTTTTTAATTTTTACAGTCGTTTTGGAATAAAGCAATGAATAAATTAATTAGAAAAATTTTTGTGTTTAATTATTTATTGAGGTAAAGATAATATGTAGGAATTGTGTTCTTAGACACACAATTTTCCACAAATCGAGATTTTTTCTCCTTCAACGTTTTTAAAGAGCCATTGCCTGTCTTAAATATCACCCTTATTAAAATTGTACAAGGTATATCATAAGGGGACCATTGGCCGTTCCTATATTTTCTTTCAGTCCAGTTATTCTCCTCAACTGCCGAGCGAGTTCTTCGACTTCGACGACATTCTTTTAAAATTTTGTAAGAAAATATTGTAAACAAATTCTGTCTAGTTGTTCAAGTTAAAATAAAAAATTAAAAAAAAATTTTTTTAATATAAGCATTCTTTAATTGAAACATTCTTCTGAAAAAATATTTCAAGATTTTTTAGCTAAAGAAAAATATGTAAAATAAATTTATTAAAAATCGTACTGGAAACATATTTAAATTTTTAAATAAAATATATTCAGGAATACTCAATTTTTTAAATAAAATTTCGAACTTGGAGTTACAATTAGTCATTATTGTTTAGATTTATTGATCCTCTTTCGTCTGTCAGCTTTTCTAAAATTTGTTTTAAAACACTCTTGGCAATTAATGTGTGATAGAAATCTGTTGAAATATCAGCAACAACAACTTACTTATAGCCTTTTTCACTTTCCGTTTTCACTCCTCCATCAAAAAAAAACTTGATTTCTTTAACGACAAACACCTCTATTGAATTCTCAATTTTCCCACATAATGTTTCTATCATTTTAACAATTCCCCAAATTCTAATTTTTAAAAGCCTAAACTGATACAATTTTCCCTCAAAAGTCCCATAGCCAATTCGTTAGAGTTTCTGTTAACTAAAGATGAGTGAAATAATTGGTAGAAAAAATAATTTTAAAAATCGTTAAAGCATTGATGATCTAGTAAATGATGTAAAAGTTAGCGACGGGTAAGCAAAATTTTGATAAAATAAAAAATGGAAACTTTCAGTCGGTTGAAAAACCTTGCATCGTATTCAACCCCAAAATCGAGCTTACTCCTCCCTATGGTTTTTCGGTCTTCAAGGACCTATATCTCGGCTCGTAAAAATTTCCGCAGATAGAGAGTAGTACCATTCGACTCGGCTCGCCGAGACGAAGCGAATAGTATGTAATTTGACCCGATTCTGAGTGGGCCACCGGCTAAAGTATATCCCTGAATGCTTCAACATTTATACTAATAAACGTTACTGATTGGATGATGTGGGTCAAGTTGGATAAGCCAAATCCTAATCCGACTAAATATAATCAGAAATATATAAATTTACGAGTCTGTTCGTATTTGTCGGAAGCAGTTCAAAATAGGAGTACGGGGAAAAAGACGTCACCAGCTAAAGAGCAACGGAACGCCAACTTTTAAAATACTATAAAAGCCCTTGTTTTCTTCACTCCACACCTTACCGTCAAATATTTTTTTCAAAGCAAATCAACATCAAAACAACAACAAACAAAATGTTCTTTTATTTAATTCGACAAGAAGAGTTTAAAGACGGTTCTGGAACAAGAAAGTCTTCTTCATTTCTGCGCTCGTCGACTACCAACCTTTTGCCAACTCTCTTTGCTTCTTTGGTTTTTTTGTTTCTTCTCGGGCAGGTTAAGGGTGATGATGGTGGTGGTGTTGGAATCCCTGTTGGGTTTTTCAATCACACTCTGAAGGATGGAATGGTTACACTTTCTGAGGGAACCGTGGAAGTCAAAAAGACCAATCTGGAATTGTACACGAATCATTCTGGAGCCTGTGAAGTTACTTTTGAAGGCAATTTCATGTGAGTTTCCTTGATAGTCTTAAAATAAATTTTCTCATTTTCAGCGTACTCCACTACAAAAGGGAAAGCATTGCGGCGAGGAATGGTTGCAAAGTGGACTTGCTCACCAACCTTCAGAACATGATTTATTTCACGACCGAAGTGAAGCACAGCGATGTGATTGAAAAATGCCTGGGGAAATGCAAAATATCAAAATTTTTTCACGGAAGTAGTGACAATCTGTAAGTTTTTAGTTGGGGTGATAGATAATCCAATATACATATTTTAGTTTGCCTTTCGCCTACAGCACAACAGAAGATAAGAACATCATGGAATTAACTGGACCAATTTATAAAGAAAACCTGACATGTTATGACGACGAAACGTGTGATGATAATGGTGGAAGATGTATGCCGTGGACTTCTCTTGAGGTTGCATGGACCACCTGTGATGATGAATTCTTTGCTCACACCCATCCAAGTGGACCGTTTTTTATCATGTTTTGAGAATTTTATTTTAGTTGGTGAAGTTACGGCTCACTGGAGGAAACACAAAATGTATGACAAAAATGTGACAGGATTGTCTTTCAATTTGAATATAACGAAGAATGGCAATTTCATAATGGACTTTGAAGGACAAATAATGGACTACCGCTCGGGGGGTCGTGCTGCCTGCATCCCTAAAGAGGAAGGCATTGCCAAACCTGTTACATGGGAAATCAACGTCACTCTACCGAATCCGAATTATGCGAACTTGCTGGTCTTCCACATGCTTCCACAAAAAGCATCTCGAAAACACGTGGATGGGAAAATCACAAAAGATGATCTTCCTGATGGTCCAAAGTGTGATGAACTTTCTATCAAATTTGTAAGGATCTTCACTTCTGAAACTTATAAAATCTCAAACTTTCCCTTTTTCTATTTAGCATTCGGATAACTACATTTTGTTGACCAACGAAGACTTCATCGCTCCATCAACAACAACAACGGCAACCACGACTAAGCTTCCCGAACCAACCACGACTAAGCTTCCTGAAGCAACCAAGAGTGAACTCTCTTTTGGGTTTTTCAATCACACGCTGAAGGGTGAAATGGTTACTCTTGCCGAACGAGTTGGGGAAGTCAACAAGGACAACATCAGTTTGTACACGAAGCATCCTGGGGCCTGTGAAGTTACTTTTGAAGACAATTTCATGTAAGACGTCTCTTAGAATAATTTTAAAATAAATTTGACATTTTCAGCGTTCTTCACTACAAAAAGGAAAGCAAAGCGGCGAAGAATGGTTGCGCTGTGGATTTGCTCTCGCGTCTTCACAACATGATCAAGTTGGAAACTGGAGTGGAGAACAAAGGAGGGATTGAAAAATGCCTGGGGAAATGTTCATCAGAAGATTTGCCTTTTAATGGAAGCAGTGCCAATCTGTAAGTTATCCATCATTTGTTTGGAAGGATAATATCTTAAAATTTTATTTTTAGTTTGCCCTTCGGCTACAGCACAACAAGAGACAAGAACATCACTAAGCTGAAAGTAAATGGACCGTTGTATGATGCTAAGGAGGAAAATTGTCATAATCAGGAGGAGTGTGGAAAGTCGGCAGAGTGTATGAGGTGGACTTCTCTTGAAGCTGCGTGGACTACCTGTAACAATAAATCCTTTGCTCACGCCCATCCAAGTAAGGATATGAATATTGTCTGCCTTTCTTGATAATTTTATTTTAGTGGGCGAAGTTCTAGCCGTTTGGAGTACCAGCACGAAGATCGACGCAAAAGCCAAACAGTTATCCTTCGATTTGATTATAATGGAGGATGGCAATTTCATAATGGACTTTCGTGGGCAGAAGATGGACTATGCCAAATCGACTAAAATAGCTTATTGCCTCCCTAACAACACGTTCGTAGCAGAGCCTGTTACTTGGAAAATCAACGGGACAAAGCCAAAATCGAATCACAACAACTTGCTTGTCTTCCATATGCTTCCACAAGAATCAGCGCGAATCAACAGTGGTGACGAAAGCAATATAAGGGTACCTCCTAAAGGACCAGAGTGTGATGAACTTTTTATCAAATTTGTAAGTATTTGCAAATTCTTATAAAATTTCATAATTTTTCCTTTTTCTATTCAGCATACAAAAGACTACACTTTGCTGGGACAAAAAGATCCACTTCCAACAACAACAACGTCACCACTACCGCCAACAAAGACCAGGATCACCACACCTAAAAGGACTTCAACATCAAGGAAAAAACCTCCTCAAACCACGACAACACCTAAAGCAACAACCACATCTGATCCTGGCTCTGGAAACTTCAAATTCGTTGCCACGACTACGTTCATTGTTGCTTTTTTTATATTTGTTGGCGGCATCTATTGTCTTTTTAATGTCTCTGCTGACTATACAAAGAGTGACAAGCACTACTTACTCCGTGGAGAACTTCACGATATAGAGATCGCGCTTATTCTACGCCTGGGATTTTTTGTGACAAGCTTCCTTGCGCTTTTTTCTGGCTGCTTCAAAGTTATGGTCTACCACATGGATACTTATACAATCTACCAAACGCCTCCATGCATCCACTACTTAATACCAATCTCAATCTTCATTGGCCTTCTTCTAATCACTTCAATCATCAATTGCTACTACAACCACTTGAAGAAGAGAAACCGAAGGAGGATTGAGGAACGCAAAGTAGAGGATCGGAGGGAGGCTCGTCGTCAAGATGCTTATGCTAGATGTGCCCGCAACATGGCACGAATGAGGATGCAAAGGAAGAACGTGAGTTTAAATTCTTTCAAAAATCCAAAAATTTCTCTCCTTTTCAGAAATACTATAATCAACCAACTTCATCTCAAAACACCAATTCCTCGAGTATGAACAAAAATTCTCAATATAATTCGGATCTTTTGAGCCTCGAAAGGGACAGCGATTTGTTGGAGGATGATGATAATACTGCTATCGAGATCTTGAAGACGGGTGAAAGTTTGGCTGGAACAGAGGAACGAAGTGAAGGATGGGCTGAGGAAGTGAGTCGAAAAATGAATTTTAAACTGAAATTTTTTGTTTACTTTTTAAGATTGATCAGCAGAAGAAGAAGAGTGTTGTTCACGAACCGGCGGAAATTAACTGGAAGGCGGCAGAAGAAGCAAAGAAGAAGAAGAAAATTAGGAAGAGTGAGAAGAAGAAAAGATTTGGATAGGATATTTCACAAAAATAAATTTAAAAAATAGGTATCCCTTTCCCCCAAAAATAAATAAATATTTTCCTATAAATTATTGTATTTGTCCTTTTATCTACCTGTGATAATCTTTATTTTTCTGTAGTTGTAAATAAAAGTTTGTTGAAACTTGACAACTTTCTGTTTCTCATTAAAAATCAGAATATTTCTGTTTAAAATTAAAAATACAAATTTCCGGATTCTTTAATTAAGTAACACAGAAAATCAGAAAAATAATCTAGTCGAAATTCTGAAATATAAAAATTTATTCTTTTTTTGATAGAAAGGAGCAAAAATACAAAAGGCAAAAGAAAAATGCAAAGAAAGGGTATATCGCCGAAATAAAATGTTAAACTTTAAAATACAAAAATCAGAATTACATAGTAGAATTAGACACAGAAATACAAAATCAGAATTTATTCAGAATTAAAACGAGAAAAAATACATAAATACGAGTAAAACACATTTAAAATCAGAATCTGAAAACACATACATAAAATCAGATTAATTAAATCAGAATTAAATAAGAAAGAAATACACACTAAAAATTCAGAATTCAGAAAAATGAGAATATTCCGGAAAATACAAAAATCAGAATTAAAAAATAAAATTCTGAAATAAACACAAAATACAAAAAATCAGAATTTCAGAAAATAAAATACAAAAAATTTCGGTACTACTGAAGATAGGAGGGCTTTTTCTGCGGACTTTTCTTTTCTTTTAAATGTTTCTTTTTTAATGTTTTGGTTGTCTTGCTTGTAGCAAGTTTTGCTTGTAGCAAAAAACTGTCAAGGGAGTATGTGTTCACGATTAATTTGAACATTATAAACGTAACAAATGTTACAGTCAATAAAAAATTTTACTTTAACTAAATTTTCAATTACCCTTTGATGAATTTCAACTATGGATCACTGATCTCGGAATGCTTAATAGAAAAAGAATATGTAATTGTGGAACAGAAACAACCTTGTCCGGTACTAATTTAGTTTCCCCCCCCCCCCAGCCAGTTTTTTCGAAAATTATGTAAAAATGGTCAGTCTGAACAACAATTGTAGAACCCATCGAGCTGTGTCGAATGACACCAAAATCAACAAAATCCGACTTGATTTGACCGAAATACAGACCCCTAAACCACAGGGGCACAAAATCATAAAGACGAAAATCTATACAAATGATAGCTCATTCGAAAGAGCTCATCGAGCTGAGTCGAATGAGACCAAAATCAACGAAATCCGACTTGATTTGACAAAGATATGACATAAATCGTCGACTCCGGTAGGTCTAAATAATGTCATAACTTTGTCAAATCTTGTCCGATTTCGTTGATTTCGGTGTCATTCGACTCAGCTCGACGAGCTCTTTCGAATGAGCTATCATTTGGGTAAACTTTTTTTATTTCAAAAAACCACCCCCATGGTTGTTCAATTTTCAGGGGTCTGTATTTCGGTCAAATCAAGTCGGATTTTGTTGATTTTGGTGTCATTCGACACAGCTCGATGGGTTCTACAATTGTTGTTCAGACTGACCATTTTTACATAATTTTCGAAAAAACTGGCTGGGGGGGGGGAAACTAAATTAGTACCCCTTGTCCCCCCCCCCCCCCCATTATTTTTATTACCTAAGATTGTACAAAATGGTCAGATTTCTTTCTTCCTCTCTTTCCTCTGACCTTGGCATATTCAAACAAGACATTGTTGATAAAGAGAAGATTAAAATTAATTGTTGTTCAATATTTTTAATTGAGTTGTTCAATATTGAGTTCAATTTATTTTTTCAGTAGTTCAATATTTTTAAATATAAGTACGAATGTAATGTTTTTACACAGAAATGCATAATGTTAGTATATACCAAATCATTTTATTTAGTTCTTTTATTTTGTTTAAATTGTTTTCGGAGGCAAAAAAATAATCTTCTCTTTATCAATGTCTCTTGTCTGAATATGTCACAGGGCAAATAGAAGGAAGGAGAGGAAGAAGAAAATCTGACCTTTATGTACAATCTTAGGTAAGAAAAATAATAGGGGGAGGGCCTTTGACAGTTTGTTGCTACAAGTAAAACATTTAAAAGAAAGGAAAAGTCCGCAAAAAAAGTCCGCAGAAAAAGCCCTCCTATCTTCAGTAGTACCAAAATTTCATTTCGGCGATACACAAAATTAGAAAAACAAAAAAAAGCAAAAAATATACATGAAAGAAAATGACCAGAATTTTTGCATTATTAAATAGAATTTTGCTTATATTAATATGCGTAAAATTAATTAAATAGAAATATTTTTAATTATAGGAATTTAATGATAAAAATATTTTTTTAAATCTAGCCGTGTAAAATTCTCAATAAATTTAAAATATGTAAAAGCCTGAAAGAAAGGAAGGAAAAATAAAATTTTTTTTAAATATTGGGCATTTATTGAATGCCTATCGGTAATATGTACTTTAGTGATGCTCGGGTATCCCGATCCCGACTCCCGACTCGGGAAAATTTCCCGAGTTTTTGGCCTCCCGATCCCGATCCCGACTCCCGGTGTCAATTCCCGATTAAGTCGGGAAATTTTTACACCCCTAAGAATGTATTTTTCTGACAAAATTATATTTTCATTTATAAAAAATGAATAAATCTGGCCTCTTGGTCTTCTAAAATTCCCAAAATTTCGCCTGCGGCGCTGAAAAGGGAAGATTTTTGGCTTAAGGATCTTCCAAAATCCTCAAAATTTTCGCCTGCGGCGCTGAAAATTGAAGAATCTGTGGAGTTTTAGTATAGAAGATTTCGGTGATTTACTAGGATTATGATGAATTTGAAGAGATAACGAGGGATTTGCAGTAATAAAGAGGGATATCAATGGATGATTAATGTTGCATGGGGGGTGTAATACTATAGAGGGGATATGAAGAGATATTTGGCTAGGTCACCAAAATTACACCAAAATTGAACGTAAAAATATTTTTCTCTGTTTCACTCACTTTTCCTCTATTTCACTCCAATAGAGGGATTCTAAGAACTTAAGGTCACTGACAACAACTATAAATCAAAGCTGCGCTCTGGCTCAAAGAAAAAGCCCCCAGCAATACCCAACACTGATTATCTCTGGGGTTACTAGGTTTTTTGGACAGGCTGTTGGCTTATCTTTCCAAATAATCGGGGAAATATACTCTTAAGTTACCCTTAAAGATCGTTCAAGACCCCTTTCTATTTCACTCCAATAAGAGTCAAAATTTTTGGCTGCGGCGCAAAAAATGGAAGAAATCTGACTTCTTGATTTAAAATTTTCAAAATTTTCGCCTGCGGCGCTAGTAAGGATTCTTTACCTTCCAAAATTTTCAATATTTTTGCCTGTGGTTAAAAAAATCGGAATTTATGGCGCCGAAGGCGCCAAAAATTTTTGAAATTTTTGGAAAATTTTTTTATTGCTAATTCCCGACTCCCGATCCCGACTCCCGAGGTCATTTCCCGACCCGACTCCCGTTTCCCGATTCCCGGATTTTTTCTTCTCCCGAGCATCACTAATGTACTTTGGCTGACTCCCTCCCACTTTCTAGCCAATGTTGGTAGACCCAGCTTGAAGAGCTCTTTAGATATAATATTTCAATAAAATTGTATCAAAAAAGCTCAACATGGTCAAGAAAGCAGGAAAGGAAAGGAGTCAGCCAAAATATTCGAAAAGCTGCTTATCTGACAAAGAAGAATTTAATAAAAAATTTTTTATAAAATTATGGCAAAAAGGCAAAAATATCTTCAGTGTCAGAAAGCCAAAAAAATAAAGAAAATTGAAGTAATTAATTGGGTAATTCAAGTATTTTTAATTTAAATTTTAAGTATTTTTTTCTAGAGTATATATAAATTTAAGTATTTTAGTAATATATTGAGTAGAAAAAACAAAGAAATTTGGGCAAAAAAAGTTTAGGTAGATAAATACAGTCAACTCTTAATTTGTAATATAACAAAATTGGAGGTTCGTTATTTGGGAAGGTTATTAAAGTAAGGAATAATTAACATTTTTTAAAGTCCGTCCCATCCTGGATTTAAACCCGCCTCTGAAATAGCCTTACTTTAGCGGATATCTAAAAAAATAAAACGCCACATTTAGGAAACACGGGGTATATCAAGTTGACTGTATATTTAAATCAGAAAAACAAGAATAAAAAGTAAAGCAAGTAAGGAAGAGAGGCCGGACCTTAAAATTCTAAAAAAATTTTTAAATCTCGTGTCAGTCCGATCTCTAATAACAATAAAAACATTAACTAAATTATTTAAAATAAATTTTTGAAGAGGTTCAATTAAGATAAAAAAATAAAATGCTTTAAAATATTAATTTTATTCTCTCAATATGTATGTATTACTAAATATGGCAATTTTTATCGGAGGAAAATTGGTTTTTAGGATGTATTTAAGTTTTAAAAACTTCGAAAAATTTTCTTTGGTTTTGATTAGCTTTATGATAGAATAGGAGTGCCACAACACTAATAGATAGAACATAATTAGATATACTAGGGGTGTGCCAGTTCCGGTACCTAGTTGGTCCCACAGTCAATTTTTGTTTAGGATGTACAAAATGGTCAATGATTAATATCGATAGCGCTCATCGAGCTGAACCGACTGGCACCAGAATGGTTCGTGAAGACAATTCTGAGCTGAGTTAAAGGAGATTTTAGGGTTTCCCTTTACAGGATTACTCCATCTTTTGAGTTACAGGGGATTTTTTTCATTCTCCTCTTTTTCGGTTTTTAAAATCCGTTTCGGCTTCTATCAAATACCTAGTTTTCCTACTAAAAAGCTTTAAACACATCCAAAATAGAGAACAAAAAAAGAATTTTTTGAAGAAAAAAAACAATAAAACAATTTACCTAAAAATATTTTAATTTTGTGTTGTTTGACGAGTATTGATGTGCTAAAATTTATTTTTTCTAAAAGAAAAACAAGAGAAGAGAAAAGGTTGAAAGAAAAATTAATTTGTTGTTGTTTTTAATTTTTATTTTGTATTCCAATCACTGGGTGGATCACCAACATCAACAATTAAATGATAATAAAGTGGGCGAATATCTACCTGAAAAAATTTGAATTTTCATTAATTTAGATTATTTATTTAGATTTAATATTTTTTTGAAAAAATTGCAAAATTAAAAATAAAATTTTTGCGGACATTCTTGTGCATATACAAAAGGAAATTACATAGCTTTTTCATTTATATGTAAGTAAAAAAAATTTTTTTTATATATCCTTAAAAGAAAAGAAATAAAAGAGATAAAAAGATTTGTCCGCAAAATTTTTTTGACCGCAAAAAGTGTCCGCAAAATGTAAGAATATGTACATATATTTAGTAAAGACCTGACCGATACGATATATCGAAAAAAATATCGATGTCGATATTTTTCGAGACCGATACCGATATTATCGATCGATCACTCAACTCCGGTCTCTAATATTTAGTAGTATAAAATTACCCGTCAATTTTTTAAAATATAATCCTTTTTAAAATTAAAAAAAAACCTTTAATATCCTCCATTTTCCCTCTTCATTTATACCATCAGTTGCCATTCTCTTTTCGGCTTCTTCCAATAATTTATACCTAAAAAAGTGAAAAATGTTAGTGGGAATATTCTATAAAAGTATCCGATAAAGAAAAAATATCTTCTTTTTGGTACAATGGATCATGATTTACCATCTTTTTACCTCAATTATCACAAATTTTAAAGTCCCATAACCTTTTAGGTTAACATTGTTAGCTGAAAAAGCCGACAATTTCTCTATAGTCTCACAATATTTTCTCACAATATTTTTCTCTTTTCCACCATGTCGGGGGGCGGCTTTATTCCTCTTACTTAGCCCATCCCCTGGCTACTCCCTTGTCTTTTAGGAATTAAATTTTAAAAAAAACAAACACAAGTTTAGGCTGAACCCGTTTCCTTTTAACATGTTTGAGCATTGAAAAACGAACATATTCGCTGTTTGGCCTTCCAATTGTAAAATTATTTGATAATATTCTTTTACCTTTAAAAAAATTTCCAATTAAAAACCCAAATCAAAAACCAACCCATATCATCATCTTCACCTCCCCAAGCCCAATAGCTATTTGAAAAGCCATTTACCCGTAAATAATCGTTTATATTTATAGCCTGAAAAAAGAAAAAAAATTAATTTTGAAAAGAAAATTTAAAAATACCAGGGCACCGCCAACAATTTCTTTATACCACAACCTTTAAAAATTAAAAAAATTTATTTTTTGATAAAAATAAACATAGAACGAAAGCTCAAGAATTGAAAAGTTTCAGAAAAATGGACGTCGATATTCGAATCGGAATTTTTAACAAATTTACCCCAAAAAGACAAGATTTCGATCAAAAATGGATGGATTGAGAAAAAAGTCAAGTCGAATTCCAGGTTAAGGTTAGGGTCGAAAAAAGTAAGGATTTCGAGTCTTGGGTAACCCACTCAAAAAAAAAACAAGATTTCGCCTAGAGATGGGTCGGGTTGAGGGAAAAATTCGAGTCCAGTCCAGATCGGGCTAGGGCCAAAAAAGTCCAAGTTTCGGGTCTTGAGTAACCCGTCCCATCCCTTACCTCGATTAAAACCCAAACCCAATAAAAGAAGGGCAGAATTAAATGAAAAATGGATAGATAACTAGCCCAAAAATTAAAATAAAAAAAAATTTACTGATATCCCAAAGAAGAGACAAATGCTCCCAAATGTCTAGGTTCATTAATTATTGGACATTCATAAGGTGTTCTATCATCTTGTGGAAACATATCAACATCGTGAAAGACAACACAATTTACATTTAATTTTTGTTGGGCAAATAAAAAGGCGGCATTCATTATACGTCCTTTGTTGAAGAGATTGTCACCATTCTAAATAAATAAAAATTAAAAATATTTTATGATTTTGTGAAGAAAGTTAAAGAAAGGGAGCTGTTCAGGTTACCATCAGTGTTTAAAGAGAAAATAGCCAACCCAAGTCGATTTTGGTAACATTAGACACGATCGAAAAGACATGTCGAATCATGTCAAAATCAACTTAATCCTACTTATGTGCAGATCAATAAGACACAGGATTGTCTCTAATAGAGGCCCATGCCCAATAGAATCCCACTCAAGGGGAGGAATTGAAAAATGGAAGCCCAGGGCTTGTATTAGAGACAAATCGGCAAATTAGATCGGGGTATATCCAAATAAAATAGAAAAAAAATTTTTTTGGAGATAAAATTCCCCGAAAAATAACCTAAAAGAATGCTAGTTTAATTACCAAAAAATTAACAAAAAATTAAAAACCTGTTCAGTAACAATAAATCGAAAATCGAGAAATTGCCTTTTAAGTAGAGGTATCAAAAAATCCAATAAACGAACCAAATGACTTTTTCTGTCTCGATAAGGAATTATAACTGCCATCTAAAAATATAAATATATAAAAATTGAATATGTTGATAATCTTTTTTTTCGAAATATTTTCGATTTTCGTATCCGTTTTTATTCTTTATTTCGAAAAAATACCAAATTTTTTGGGTTAATCCAACAAATGTAGGTAGTATTCAAATTCTGACTTGAAATTTTGGAAGATTCCAGAAAAGACAAAAAAATCTTCACCTTCCAAAGATCAACCTCTACCCACTAACCAACAAACAAAAGGGATCAGAGGTCAGCACAAAAGAAAATCTCACTGTCGTAAGGCCAAAATTTAACGCAAATAACGTAATGCGCTCACCCCTGACAGGGATGTATGGATTAAGAAAAAAAGTCAGGTCGGATTTCAAGATTTCCTTCGAACGGGGTTTCGAGTTGGAAAACCCCAAAGACATTCCTAATGGGAAATAAAATTAATTTTCAAATTTCGGGTTGAAAAAACCCCCAAGGACATCCCTAATAAAAAATAAAATTTCAAGAAAACCTTATGTCTGGCTGTACAATTCAAAGGTTTCCAACTTCCCCCCGGATCCAAATCAGTATTTGCATTAGCCACTTCCCCTTCTTCCAATTCTTCAATTAAAAGGGTTGCCTGGCCAATATGTCCTTTTAAATAAATATTCTTTTCCAATTCAGGGCAATATTCCGATTTTGATAATTGTGGAGGAAGTTCCTTTAAATTTTTAAAAAAATTTAAAAAATATTATCTAATCAAATTTTCATAGAATATCAAAAATATATTTAAATTAAATTAAATATAAAATCAGAAAAATTTAAAAATGTCAGAATTAATGTATTTTTATAAAAATCAGAATTTTAAAATAAATTCAAAATTAGAATTAAAAAATAAAAATAAGTCAGAACTCCAGAAATCAGAAATCTTAATCAGAAATGTATTTTTCGAAAAAAATCAGAATTAATGTATTTTACAAAATAATTTATTTCAGAAACTTTAAGCATAAACCTAGGCAATAAAAGTATTTTTTAAAATCAGAATTTTAAAATAATTCCAAAATCAGAATTAGAAAAAAAAGAAAATCAGAACTTTAGAATTATTATTTTAAAAAATCAGAATGTATTTTACAATATTTATTTCAGAAATTTAATTTAAAAAGGACGTGAACAGACCGAACAAAAAATTCAGAATTTTATTTAAAATTCTGATTAAAAATAAAATAAACCTTTTCTTTTTGTTGTTGTGCTTCTGTAACCTCTTCTAATTTAATTGCCCCCATTAAAATAGATTTTGAAGCTGCGGTTTCCAACAATAAAGTATCCAATTTATTGTAGTTGATAGCTTCTGTTAAATCATTTAGTGGTCTTTCGTCTTTAGAAATTATTGAATTTTGTGGCCTTAAAAATTAAATATTTTTAAAAATAAAATTGAGAATTAATTTTTAGGGATAAAATTAAAAATAAAAAAAAAAGTCCGCAAAAAAGTCCGCAAAAAATGTCCGCAAATTTGATCAATTTACTGAACAGGGAAGGTTGCCGCCCAAAACCCGAAAAGAAAATTTTATGACACGAAACCCGTACTCGAAGATTTTTTGTACCCGCGGCAACACTGTTACTTACTGACTTATTAATCGAAACAGGCTCTTAATTTTTTGTTCCGACTTTTTTAAATAGGGAATATTTCGGGTTGCCGAGACATTTCGAGCATTATGGACACAATTTGACTCAAATTCGACCAAATTTAGGCAAAAAAGAACCGGAAACTGCATTACTACCCTATATTTTTTAAGTTTCCCAAAATTCCCTTATATACAGAAATAAAAACAAAAATTAAAATTTTGTCCGCAAATATTTGCGGACTTTTCTTTAAAACTTTCCCGTCCAATTAAAAAAAATTTCCTACCCCAATTTACTCACAAAATTAAATTTAAAAAACAAAAACCTTTTCATTTCATCATTTTTTCTCCTTTCATTATCCTTCCACCTATCATTAGACAACAAAGAGCGATATTGTGTAGAGGGGGAAATTAATGGATTTTTCCTGAAATTTTTTTTAAAATTTTTAAATTTTTTAAAAACCATTCTGACGGGAAAGAAAAATTCCATAAAGCCAAATAAACTAAACAAGAAGCAACTGAAAGCAATAAAATTCTTCTTAAACAAACGGCAAGTGAGCAAATGGAAAATATTGATGTTCTCATAAATTATAAATAAAAAATATATATAATTTTTAAATAAAAATCTGAAAAAAATAAAATTTTTTAATAAATGACATTTTAACGTTAAAAATAAACGAGAGGAATTCCAAAAAAATTTAAAAAAAAATTAAAAAAGACTGTCCGCAAAATTTTGCGGACAGTCCGCAAGTGTATAACAAGGATGCCAATGGTAGCGAAAAAAATCGGGTAGGATTTCGGATTGGGGTTTTAATTTTTTCGGAGGTTGAGAAAAATTGAAAAAACAATCAAAAAATTGTCCGAGTTTTGGATTTAAAATATCGGATACCCCGTAACATTAATTTAAAAATTTTCAATTTTATTTAAAAAAATAAACATTTTTAAGGTTTCATAAATCAAAAAAAATATTTTCTTTTTTAATAGTTATTAGAATATGTAATTAAAAATATTTTTTAAATGATGATGTGAGATTATTTTTTTAAAAGAAATTTTTAAATTGACAAAAGAATAAACATGTAATGGGGAGGGAGGATTAAATATTTTAGAAAAAAGATTAAAAAAATAATAAAATAATTAAAAATAAAAAAAATTAAAAAAAAATTTTTTTGGTTCTAGTAAAATAAAAGGCTTCCCCTAGGCAAAAAAAGGTTTTTAGGGAAAAATTGAAATTTTAAAAAAATAAAAAAATTTTTTTGATTTTTAAGAGTCAGAAAAAAAAATTTTTTTTTGCTTATCGACGGCTTTCAAACGATAATGAAAGAAAAATTTTAAATAACCCCCGATTAAGAGAACAGATCAAAAATAAGAAAAAAGTTGAAATCGATCAAAGTGTCGCTATAGCACTTAATTGGCCAAACAGCACAATTACCTAAGCTCTTTCTTTATTTTTTACAACAAAATTAAAAAATTAATTAAAATTTATTTTCTTTCTGTTTAATATTGTTAAAAGAAATTGTTGGAATCAATAGAAAAAAATATTTTTTTAATTAAAAATTCATAAAATAAAAAAAGAAAAGGGGGACACAGATGTGTGGGGTTGGTAAAGAAGGCTTTTAATAATAAAAAGAAAACAGAAAAAAAATATTTTTTTGCCTGAAATATATCTTTTTTGCCTGCAAAATGGTGGAAAAATAAATAAAAAAAAATAAAAGAAAATTTTTTGAAATTTACGAAAAAATTTTTTTTGGAAATTTATTTTTTAATTTTTTAAAAAGGAATAATTGAATTAAAAATTTAAAAAAAAGAAACTTAGAAAAATAAAAGTGAGAACTTGAAGAAATTAAATTTTGAAAGGGTTGCGTATTTAAAGAAAAAATTAATTAAAAATTAAAAATGACGAATACACGATTGTTTTTTCAAAAAAAAATTAAAAATATTAACCAATAAAATAAAAGGGCTGGGTCGTTGGGGCGCGAAGTCATTTACGGCGCAAGCTTATAAAATTACAATGAATTTATGTATTGGGCAGAAAAATAAAAATTCTACGAAAATACATAACCCCTCATAGTTTTTCTACGTTAGTCAAAAATTAAAAAAAATTTTTTTTTTAATATTTGGCTCCATATTTCATAAATTATGGCCAAAAAATGTCAAATTTACCCTAAAAATGCCCAATTTTTTCGAGGTTTTTTGACTATAACTTGAAAAATATTTTATGAAAAATTCTGAAATTTGGGAAGAAGCTAGTCAAGGACGTAAAAAAATTTTAAGAAAAAATTTCAAAAATCTAGGGGTTAGCTAGGGATAATTTTTCGAGGCACGTGCCAAAACATTCCGGCGCCCAAACGACCCCAACTAATAAAATAATTAAAAAAACAATATAATTTTTGTGATATAGTTAGAGAAAATAAAGGCAAAACCGGTGTAATTTATTCGAGAAAAAAATTAAAAAAGAAAAGAAAAAATAATAATTACTTTTATTATTTTCTCTTCTTCATTTTCGCTTTTCTCTAAAAATAATTTTTATTTTATTTTTTTTTGTGTTGATTTACTTGCCGCGCGTGTAATGTATCAAAAAAATGTAGACAAGTTTATAGATTTATTACAAATTTTTTGAGTTTTTTTGTGTGAACAATAAAAGGAAGTTTTGACAAATTTTTTTGAAAATTTCCCTATTAATTTAATTCGAAATTTTATTTTTTAAAATTATATTTGGATTAGCAGCAGAAGCAGACACAGGAAATGCCCTCCCCCTTAATCACCCTCTATCCAGCTAGAAGGTAAAAACAAAAAATACTCTATTTATTCCTCAACTATTAAGGAAAAAGCAATTTCTCTTATTCAAATGTCAGGCCGCGAGATTCGAATCCGGAAATTTCGTGTAAAGAGTTAAACAAGCAAAGATTTAAAGATAAATACTTAAATTAATTAGAAGGTCTAAAAATTAAAAAAAAATTTTTTAAATTAATTTAAAAAATTTTTTAAGAGGAAATAAAAGAAATAATAAATTAGTAAGTAAACAAATTTGGTAATAAAAAATAATTAAAGAAAAATATCGATGTAATAAATAGAAAATAAAATTTTAAACTTATGTATTTTAAAACAATAAAAGGGGGAGAAACAAAAATTCTTATAAACAAATAAATTAAAATTAGAAAAAAATTATCAGAAACTTGTTAGAACTTAAGAAAATTTAATAAAAACAAAAAAAGGCTACCCTACAACTCATCGAATCCTTAACTCATCGAATCCTCAACTCATCGAATCGGCCAAAAACACTCAACTCATCGAATCCTTAACTCATCGAATCCTCAACTCATCGAATCGGCCAAAAACACTCAACTCATCGAATCCTTAACTCATCGAATCCTCAACTCATCGAATCGGCCAAAAACGATCAACTCATCGAATTTTTCCAAAAGGGGACGTTTGAGTCCCCGTGTTTATTTTTTAGATTTTTTATTGTTTTGTTTATTTTTTTTTTGTTTTCTTCTGGGGTTTCAACTAATTTTGTTAATTAGTTGATCGGGCACTCATCCAAGTTTATCCGGCCAGTGAAAACATTATCAGAACATTATCTCATTTCTGAAAACATTATCTCATTCCTAATAAATTATGCTGGAGATTTTACCGGGTAAAACCGGACCAAATTAGTCCAGTAGACCCCGATTATGCCCAAAAGCCCTTTTTCCTAGCCTCCATAGTAGCAAAAAATTTTTTCAACGAAGATTCAGTTAGCCCTTTCGGGAGAAAAATAAAAGCAGGGGACTCAAACGTCCCCTTTTGGAAAAATTCGATGAGTTGATCGTTTTTGGCCGATTCGATGAGTTGAGGATTCGATGAGTTAAGGATTCGATGAGTTGAGTGTTTTTGGCCGATTCGATGAGTTGAGCGTTTTTGGTCGATTCGATGAGTTAAGGATTCGATGAGTTGAGCGGGCACGCAAAAAAATTGTAGAAAAAAGAGTAAAAGAAGCTAGGAAATATTTAATAGAAAAGAAAAAAAGAAAAAGAAATATTTAAGGAAGAGAAATAAACAAATAAAAGAATAGGCTACCCTACAAAACATATTTTTTTAAAACAGCAAACGCTCAAAACATCTAGACGACTAAAAAGGCTCAAAATATATTCGCTCAAAACATCAAACGCTCAAAATATCTAGACGGCTAAAAAGGCTCAAAATATCAAAATATTTTTTGATTAAAAGGGACAGTTGAGTCCAATATTTCTTCCTTGTATCAGGGGTGAATAATGTAGTATCTCAGGACCAATTTTGCATGAACTCGACGTGTTGAGAAAGGGCTCGACGAGCTGAGTTGAATGACACCAAAATCAGCTCGATTGGATGATTGTGAACAAAGTTATGACCAACTGAATCTTCGCTGGAAAAACTGTTTTTGTGCTGCTACGGAGGGTAGGCCGGGCATGGTCTTCGCTACACGATGGCCGTGCTTCGCTGCGGTCGTGCTCGCTTCGCTCGCGGCGACCGTAGCGAAGCGGCGGCCGTCGTTCCGCTCGACATGCCCGGCTTCCTCCGCAGCGGCAAAATTTTTTTCCGCGGACTCAACTGTCCCCTTTAAATGAAAAATATATTTTGATATTTTGAGCGTTTGATGTTTTGAGCGAATATATTTTGAGCCTTTTTAGTCGTCTAGATGTTTTGAGCGTTTTTACCCGTCTAGATATTTTTAGCGTTTTTAGTCGTCTAGATATTTTAAGCGTTTGATGTTTTGAGCGGGCACGAAAGAATAATCTAAAAATAAACATTTCGCCAAATTAATTAATTTTATTTATTTTTTGAAGAGGGAAAGTGTTTTCTCGAACATGCCCAATTAGACGCGCGGGCGTAACGGCGCAAAGCCATAACTTGCTAGAAAATTTTTGGCCGTTATCAATTTTGGTACCAAACTCTTTAGCTTGATGAGAGGAATCGTTTAATACTAAATTTGGAAAGATTCGGAAATTGTGAAGAAAGTTATGGCTTTGCGCCGTTTTGGGCGCGCGCCTAATTGGGCCGTTCATTTTTACTTTTTTCCATTTTTTAAAATTTTTTTCGAAAATTTTTTTTTAAATTAATTTTCAGATTTTTAAAAATGCGTTTAACTGATGTATTAGGTTTAAGACGAATACTTTATGGAAGTTATCATCCTTTTCGAATAATTCCAAAACCTTCAATTTGGCCAAAACGAGAACGACTTAAACGATTTACTGCGGTTTAGATTTTATAAAAATTTTTTTTATTTTTTTATAAAATCACACAATTCTAAGCATTCTTCGATTGATTAAATAAACATCCACAAGTTTGGTCCGCATTTGATAAAAATAAAATTTGCGGACAAAAAAATTTGCGGACAAAACTTGCGGACAAAAAAATTTGCGGATTTCTGCAAATTTTTTAAAAAATCTGAAAAAATTTTAAATTTTCTAGTGGCAATACGGACAAGATTTAAAAACAGTCAAACAAGGATCTCGAAAGCTTAACAAAGTTTTTATTTATATGGATATGCAAAGACAAGATGCCCCGAAATTGGAAAGACATGTTTGTTTTTTAAATTATCCTTTTTTTGATTTCTTGGGGGATTTTTAGTC